AATAAAACAGTAAAGCAAAGGAATAAGGATGGACAAATTTCAAAAGTTGAAGCACAAAAACAATGGAATGTTGTTTTGTAGGCTTCAACGACTACTGGAAATCATCCCCCCACAAGCAGCGGACACAAATCATGGGCAGATATAGTAGAAGATTGCAACAGTTGGGATATACGGTCAAACACACTAAAAAAGGATCAGTTTGGGGAATGGATAAAAGCAGAGAATCATTTGGCTTCCGCAGATTATCAAAGACATGAAGAAGTACATAGTACTGAAGGGCATAATCTGATGAAGAATAAAAATTCCAAGTTAATTGAGGAGAAAAGAGATGTATGAACTGGAAAAAGATTGATACACATACAAGGAGTTGACTCGACTAATACACACATGGGTATAAAGAAAGATATTGCCCATATATTATGTCAAAATGAATGCAAAGAAACGGCATGTCTTAAGGAAAATTAGGAGGAGTCCTTGCACAAAAAAGAATCAAACCAATTGTAGCATATATATGGAGATAGTACCTTATGAAACAGAAGGGGGATCTTCTGTTACTAATAAGACCCAAATTTTGGATATTGATTAGGGGGAGGAGGATAAGTGCTCAAAACTACCACTTGATAAGATGCTGCCCAGATGAATACAAAGGACCTTACAAAAAATATTAACCAGGGTATCATAATCGCTAATCAAATCGAAGGTCATAAAGGAATCAATACCATACAAGCTGGAACAAAAGATCAGGTATGTATTTCTGCTTTTGAGGCTTATTCTGAGTGCTTATCTCAGTCATTAGCATTTGAACATTGTAATGAAAATAATAAGTTTAAGAAACTAAGGAATGACAATCAGAATTAAGGGAAAAAAATGATAAACTGGAAACAATGCATCTTCACTCTCCAAGTATGATTTTCTTAAGTGAAACAAAAAACAGAGAAAGCACGGTTAAGAGGGTACAAAGACAAGTAAATATGGTGTACGCTATAACTGTGGAGCCGATGGGATTATCAGGAGGTATAGCTTTATTTTGGAATGATACTATCCAGGCATGTGAATCACATTCTTCTCCTTTTTATATCGCAACTTTGATACAAGATGGCTTAGCTGATTCCAAATGTTGGTGTATATTTGTGTATCTAAGTACAAATAGAGTCACTCGTATATATGAGATGCAAGAATTAGTGAAAAAATGCATAGATTGGGGTGCTTTGTGGGTCATAAAGTGTATACACTGTTGATGTTGCAATCAATTGCTTGCATTTCACATAAGTCAGGTACCAATACTTTATCAAGCTATTGTAGTATAATTACGCAAAGATATAATCAAAACAAAGCTACAACTCACCTTTTTCGGGTCAACAACTGAAACGGGCGATAATGATTGTTGGCGATCTTCAATAGATTTATTAGAAACCTATCACAAAAGAGACAAACTATTAAATTTAAAAAAACCAAATAGCAATACTTTCTAAAATGAATATTTTGTGAACACATTTATTTACCTGCTCATTACTAAATGATTTTCTATTTGAGCCAAGAGTAATACCCAAGAATCTACATATGCTAGTATCCCTGCTTTTACTTTATCATCTATTTTTTCTTCCATACTCATATTTGCTTCAGATAATTTTTTCTTCATCATTTCCATATCTTCCTCTGCTTTCGATAACTTCTTATCCATCACTTCAATTTCTTCTTTCGCTTCAAATAACTTTTCCTCCATCTCAATTTTCAGAGTAGAGGTTACTTTTTGAACTTCTATCTCAACTCTTTTATCAAAATCTCTTTGCTCATTTTGGGATCGCTTGTATAACGGGCCATAAACAAAACTTGGAGCTGCTCCTTTTCCTAGAGTTCGGACATTTCCATGAGTGTCTGGCCCCATTACTTGTGAGTACACATCATTTGGAGCACTTCCAGGTACATTTAACTCAGGGTATACCTCAGCAAGATCATTCATTTCTTTCTTTATAAAAGAAAAATAAAGCAAGATATAGTTGATAAAATATTGATGGAATAAAGTATTGTACATTTATAAAGAATGAGAATTTACCATAACTTCACTAGCTTTTTCATTTATTGGTTCATTGTTCTTTTTTGTATGTGTTTTTTTGAACACATCGATACGAGTTGGTTTTACACCCTTCTCCTTTGTCATCTGTTTGAATTGTAAGAGATTGAAACAGAAATATTTTAAAAACGTGCATTAGTATATAATTGTAGAAAGTAAATAATGATTATGTTATACATTATCTATAATTTGAGAATAACTCTTTCTTCCTGATGTGTGTGGCATAGTCAACTTCATCCGACTTTCTTTGTTCCTCTCACTCTTTTTCTGAAAAAAGTTAGATATAACTCTACCCATTAGAGAATAGTCTAAACTCCATGTCATATCAGAAGATGATTGATGATGAGAGAATACCTTTGCATCAGTTGAGCTCCAATAATGTACTAGTGCACGCCATTGATCTTCTTCAACCCTATCTGGACGATTAGCTAAGCGTTCAACATCATTGGTGTATGAGTCATAACCACTGCTTTTTGCTTCATGCTTCCATTCTCTCCATTTAGATCCAACTGACATCATCAAAATACGCTTCATATCCTCAGTTGCATCAGTATTTTCCTACAAGCATCAATATATAACATATTTATATTAGAATATTACAAAATAATAAATATCTTAATATTTTTTTCTTTTTCTAGGAACCTTTATATCTGTCCATATCTTGTTCTTGTAGAGATCAGGCAGAAGCCTCCAATCTTTATGATTTAATGGAGCTAAAATGCCATTTCGTGCTAAGACGCCAAGTTTTGAACTCAATCTACATCCTTCTGGCCGAATAGGTTGCCCAAGATCATTCAACTCAACGTGTAAAATGCCACCATCTTTTCCCCATCCCGAGTGCATCATAGTGGGACCCCTAGATCGCTTAGACT